CTGTTTGTGGAGGTTTTTCTTGGATTGACTCAACATTGTTATGGACAAAACCTTGTGTCCCCCGCAAATTCTCATGTTGAAATCCTAACCCCAACGTGATGGTATTACAAGGTAGGGAGATGATATGGTGACGAGGGTACACCCTCCATAAAGGGATCACTAGACCTATGAAAAAGAGCCCCAAGAGTTCTCTTTTCAGGACACAGTGGCGGGGGATGCCCTGGAGAAGAGTGGTGTGGACCTCATCAGACACCAGATTTGCCAGTGCCTTGAGGTCCCAGCCTCCAGAACTGTGAAGACTGAGTGCTTATTGTCTAAACCAACCAGTTTATGATAGTTTTTTTCCTAGCAGCCCAAGCTGAGTAAGACAAGTACTCTCCTTCAAACTTCATGTGTCATTGTATCAGGTTTCATGAAAGAGGCAGTCTACTGAGGATGCAGTACTTTCTAATGCACTCCTGTTCACCTTTAACCAAGCTCATGCCTTTCCAATATAGAGAACTTTTAGTCATTACTTATAAAAAGTACATCTAAGTGATACATTTGGGTTTTATTAAAGTGAGCGTAAATGCTATTTCCATCAATACATATAGCTTTATGTGAAAAGCTGCCTTCCTTGAGTACAGGCTCCTGTTGGATAACTGTAGTAACTTCATATGTGATCTAGGCCCAAAATAATTGAAGCAGTGAAGAGGGAACTAAAGTCATGCTAACAGTTATAGAATAACTTTGGGAATAACTCCTCATCTCTCAAGACAGAAGTTTTTATTTTTAAATAAAAGTTTTAGATTAGCTCAGAGGTATTTACTGAAGGTTTGTAGCATTCCAGAATGCTCAAAAAAAAAAAAATTAAAGGATCTGTGAAATATTTAAAAATGTGATGTAAGATGCATTTTCATTGGGAAGGAGCCCACAGATTTTACATTTCTCAATGAGATCTGAAATTCCCCCCAAATTAACTAGGTCACTTCTGAGTTGACTTCCTGATTACAAGTAACTCATTCCATTCTGTGCATCCATCTTGCTGTGTGAATTTATTGAGAGGGAAGGAGGATTTCAACTAATCAGAGGATGCACCATATGCTTAACTCAGAACGTTTATGATTAGATCCAGTGTTGAAAAGTAATGGATGACCTTATACTTGTAACTTTAGATTCTGTTCATGGCTCAGATAGAGGAATGTTGAGAACAGAGAGTTCACTCAGGTAACCTCTAACAGCTTAGCTAAGTTAGCCAAGTTGTTAGGGTTGGCAGGACTGGCGTTATTGATGTTACTGAATAACAGGATGTAAGTGATCTCTGCGTAGTCACATTATAACAATCTAAGGATGAAGTTGTTCCTATATGAAATGCTTAAGTTTTTTGTGACATAAGAATATGTGTGAGTATATTTATGTGTGTGTGATTATATATATATATATATGTATATATATTCTCTCTATATGTATCTCCTCCATATACATGTGTATAAAATACATCTACATATATTTATATGAGAACATGTATGAGTTTCTGTAGCTCCTTAGTTTATAGCTCATTGAGTTGATTCTTGATTCTTGCCTTGTGTTGGTTAGGAGATTGGATTAGAAAATATTTTCCTTTGAGATAGTGAAAAGAGAACTGGAATCATGGTCAGTGTTCAAAAGCTATAGAATAATTGTGGGTAGGACCCTCATCTCTTAAGGTCAAAGTTTTATTGATCTTTAGCTATTCCTTTATCCTAGAGTTTGTGTTTCCATGTGTCCAACTTCTCTCCCAAATTCACCATCTTTACCCCTAAAATATATTCTACCTTAAAATCTGTTTTGAATGCTATTAACACTGCTACATCCATTTCCCTTTAGTTGATATTTGTTTAGTATCTCCTTTAATTGTCAGTATTTCTTTATCTTTTTTTTTTTCTTGACATTTGTGACTTGAGGTTTGACCACCTCAATCTTTTTCCTGGCCAGTTTTATCCAATTATATTTGTTGTGATTATCTATGTGTAAGTTTTGTTATTATATGTCCAGCTATTTTAATTATTCTTTTTTTCTCTTTTTCTGCCTTCATTTAAAATTTTCTAATGTCCTCTATTAAATTGAAAGTTATACAATCTATAGCTGCTATTTTAGGGGTTAATCATACTTTACCCCTTGACTCTATGGCCTCTTCCCCTGATCATTTATCACCATCTAGTGGATCTGTGTTGTTAGTCTTTCTTTCCACAGAACAGAGACTAAGAGAAAATGTGTGTCATTGAGAGAGAATTTCATTAGCAGGGGCAACCCAGCAAAATACTCCATATTTAAAAATATATTCTTGGACTTAGAAAATCCCAAAGCCTCTGTCCTTCCATTGTGTCCATTTGTTTTACTACTAGATCTGTCCTCTACTTTGTTACATGTAATCTCTGTGAAACTATAATTTTGATCACTGAAGGGAGCCTTGCTGTTAGTGTGACCTCTTCCTGCCCTCCTCTCTGAAGAGGGCAGATATGTCAGGGTCCAGTATTTTCCAATGATTTTATTTGATAGCTAATTAATGGTTTTCTGTGGTTTCCATGGCAATGCCACGCTTTGCTGCCAGGCCTTATCCAAATGGGTATTCTGTTCACTCCTTTGCCTTATCACCCGCATATTAATCAGATACCATAGGTCCTTGGTTGCTGCATCAAATTGGTAAGACACTAATTGAATTAAAATCTCACTTGAAGGCTTCACATTTCTCTTCCTCCCAGTTGGTGGGGGGATCCTGGTTATCTCAGAGGATCAGACCCACGCAGGATGCAGGAGACACTTGGAAATTCACAGAAATCTGCACCCTTTTGTAGTAAAGTATGTTTCTTTTACCTTTGAGTAAATATTTTGATGTCTCTCTGTGAAAATTTCTCTGTTTCATGACCTTTCCCATCATTAGCTATTGCTGCATTCTCTCTGTAATGACATGACAGAGTTAGTATTTTCAAGGTGAAGGGAAGAGGCAGTTCCTACACACGCACACACACACACACACACACACACACACAGAGAGAGAGAGAGAGAGAGAGAGAGAGAGTGTTGAAGTGAAGAACTCAAATTCCGTTTGAAGGTCTTAACTGAACTGAGATAAGGATGAGGCAGCACAGTGCAGATCAAGATTGCCTACCAATCTGTAAAGTATTGTGCAAACACAAGGGTTTATCACATTATGAGTGCTTGGAAGTATTTGGAAGATAGAGATGAAGGGAATAAGGAAGAGAAGCAAGTTAGAGGTGATCTGAACTTTAACCTTCAGATCATAAAGATTAGGGATTATTATTTCAACTTCTTATATAGTCAAAATCCTTACACTGCCTTTGGCACGTTCATCATTTTGAAATGAGACCTTTTAGGTTATTTTAACTGTCCAGAAATAATATCCTGCATATTTAGACCTTTTTACTTTTTCATCCTTAGTTCCTTTGCCCTTCTCCTTGCTGTTGCCCACATCCCTACTCAGTTTTGAACACTTAGAACGGATGTGCCCATATAGACTCTACCAGCCTTGTGGACAGATAATAACTTCTTTAGGGACCTCTCTGTGCCCAACCCCACAATAGTGTATTTTTTTAATAGTTCAAATATCTGCCTTTTTCATTGGTTTGTGAGTGGCACAATAGCATGGGCCGTTTCCTTATAAATCTTCATTTTTTTTTAATGTGTTCCCGAGGTGTTGATGACCTGTTTGGTGATTTACTGACCTGCAAAATCTTGGGCTTGATGAATAACTGCTATGTGACCTCTGGCATGAAGAATTTCCAACCTACATGAGCACTGAATCTTCTCGAAATCTGAAGGCCAAAAAATCGTTAGTGTGAAGTTCATATTAAGTGTTAAAATAGGAATCAAAGTATATACTAATTCATATTGGAACATTAACGTGGAACCTTATCACTGTGCATAAAAAATACCACCTCTCAGGCCTCCCTGGTGGTGCAGCGGTTGAGCGCTGGGTTGTGAAGCTGCCAGCAGCCTCGCGCCGGTTCGATCCCCGGGGTTCGATCCCCGGCCGCGGGCGAGGGTCCCACATAGCACGCAGACCTCTCCTGCCGCCCGCTGCTCCCCTCAGCAGTGTACTTTGTCACTCTGCCTGCTCTGCTCTCCCCTCCGGCTCTGGTGCTCTGGTGAATTATCTCACCCTTCTGCACTTCTGACTGTACCCAGTGCTGGTATAAATAAATAAATAAATCTTTAAAAAAAAAAAATACCACCTCTCTCTCCACTTAAGTCAGAAAATTCTTTGCCTTCAATGTACTGAAACTCTCTCCTTTCATCTTAAACTCTCTTGTGGATTGCGTTCTTTTTGCCATATCATCTCAGACTCTGGTCATCTGTAAGATATGTTTTTGTATTTTATCTAGGAGCATATAACCATGGGAGATGAACACACATTCCAGAACTGGAGCCAGCAGGTGGACAGTATGCAACAGTCTGGGAGGATGAGGTAGTAATGAGATTCAGCACATGCTGACATGAGCACTGTTGCTCTCCTGCAGTAAAGCAGCATCCAAGGAAGGGGAAGAAGGAACTTATTAGCTTCCTGTCCCTGCAGTGGTCCAGTCAGCAAAGAGCAGGCATCTCCCTAAGGTGCTGAGGAAGAGACTGGCACTGGGCAGACAGTAAGAGCAGAGTTCTAGGTCCTCTTCCAAACATGAAATTGGTGGCCCTGTTTCTCTGTCAATATAGACATGAGGATGTGATGCTCGCACACTCCTCTAGCAAGTACCACCTTAGTAAAAAGATCAACTCAGAGTTCCTGGAGACTAAGTCATGGTACCTGCATAAATCCTCCACAGGAGAGTTTTAAAATGCGTTTTCTTTCTGACTTTTCAATGTAACCCCAAGTCCCATGCACGGCTTCTTCACTTTCATAGAGTCCAAACACATGGCAGTAGTATGTTTGTGTGTGTGTGTGTTTTCTGAATGAAGAATAATTTTTTAGATAGTTACTTCGGGGCATCTGCCAGGAAGAGCAATTCAATATTTAAACTTACCTTATTTTGTTTTATTTTATTTTGTTTTGTTTTATTGATTTTTATCCAAACTGAAACTTCCATATGCAAAACATTTCTAGGAAGTCTGCTACCACATGTTTTGGGGGAAAGACGAGAAAAAGGGTTCTGAGTGAAAAGGGAGAAAAAAAGCTAAAACTGGAAAATACTTTTTATTTTGGCAGTTTAGTTGGAAGGGAAAACACCAAAGTGGCCATTGTGAGTGCTGCCTGAGTCAGATTTGGTCATGTGAGAGTCTCCTTTTTAGAGAGGGTCAGTCTTGAAACTTTCTGGAAAATGTTTTCTACAAGTTTTCTTCCATGATAGTTCACAGGTGATGGTTTGCAGGTTCAGTTCCAAATGATCCCAAAACTTGTTCCTTCTTTTCCTGTTACTATAATATGCGCATTATTTCACCTTTCCCAACTCGTGTTTTTTGTTTTATATTAAAGAGCTTATAATGTGTAAACAATAAGGCTCTTGTTTCAGTTTCATGGGGATCTCCCCCTCTCCCCCTGCATAAGGAGACGGGGGAGTCTTCCCCCTTGTCTGGCTTTGGCTCCCTGGCCGGGTCTCGAACTTGGGTCTCCTCTCCCCCTCCATGGGGAGACGCGGGGGCCTCCTCCATGTCCGGCTTTGGGCTCCCTGGTCAGGGCTCAAACTCAGGCCATGGCAGTGCTGACACTGAGGGCTTGGCCCCCTACGCTACCCAGGAGCCCCCACCTTGCTGTGGTTCAGCATACCTACTGAATGCCTATTAAGGAGCTACAGAAGAAACCATAGCTATTGAATACCTATTAAGGACCTGCAGAAGAAACAAAACTGCAATGTGAATAACACTGGCAGGCCCTGAAGTCAGGCTTATTAGGACCACCAGGACCCCATCAGCTACATATAGTAATTGCACCATCTCACTACCCCAGCCCCTCTACTTTCAGCTTATTCGGAATAAAGAAAGCTCTGTGGTAAGAAGGCAATATGCCCACATCCCCACCCATGTGTGAGAATAAGACAAACCAACCACAAGAAATTAAGCATAAAGAGGGAAGAAATCATAACCGAAGAAATATCTTCTTTATCTATGTCCATTTCCTCCCACAAGGAAAAATGGCAGTGTCGGTTGTACATTACATATATCTCTCTTTCTTTTTAGTGTTTAATCTTAGCACCTGCACAGCAGAGATCTTTACAATTCATTGCATATGCTCTCCCCCCTACTCCCCCCTCCACACAGCACCTGAGGCCTAAGAAGCAACTCCCCCCAAGCTCCTCAAAAGGCTGAGACCCTTCTTCATGACAGAGTATAGAAATAACAAACATGCCCAACGGTTTTTATACAGTTGCTAGAACATTTTTTGTTTCCAACGAATGAAGATTTTCCTCCTTTGCTTTGAATATTAATTACATTTTACAAATTTATGTTTGTTTTGTGTTGCTTTCTTTTGTTCTGTTATGTTTGTACAACAAAAGGGAAAGTCCGTGGCAAAGAGTCCCAGGCTAACAGAGTTTGGCTGTCATCTGGTCCGACTGTTTGAGGATCTCGGTGTTGTAGAGGTCCAAGGCGTGGTTCACCCGGATGATCTCGCTGTTGGTCAGTTTCAGGCGGTGTTTCAGCATACAGGAGAATAAGTCCAGTTGGGGTTTCCCCGGGGCCACGGGAGGGGCGAGGCGATTGATTCGGTCCCGAATATCTAACAAGAGGAGCATCACCGACGAGGAGGAGTAGAACTGGCCGCCTTGTGTGTAGGACTGGTTGACCTGCTGCACCGCGCTGCGAAGGAGGTCAGCGTTGAACCTCAGGCTGTACCCGAACACCTGCACGTCCGAGATTTTGATGTAGAACTGCCTCTTGGAGGGGTCGGACAGGTCCACGGGGCCCTGGCCAGTCTCATTACGCAGTAGGGTAGGTAGCCGAGTCCGACTACGTAGGTAGATGTGGACCGTCTCGAAAAATGTTTTCCACCGATTGCCCAGCAAGAGAGTCCAGTTGTAGCACTGGCTGTTTTGGAGACGAATCTTCTCCCAACGCGGGTAGCCAAATTCCCCAAAGGGCATGTTCCAGCCCTCTGAGTGACTCCCGCTGAAGGGGTTGACATAGACAAAGAACATGGGGTCCAGGCTGCTGTTGCGCATTTGGCAGATGCGCATGGACATGCCGATCACCATGTGGATGAAGTCCATGCGGTTCTTGTTGCTCTTGAGAGTGAGGGACATGCGCTTGCGCCACCGGGGGTCAAAGAATGTGTCCAGGCGGATCTCGTTGCTGATGAAGGTGGTGTGCACATAGAGGCGCGAGTCCATCTTCTGCAGCAGGTACTTCAGCTCCAGGTCCTGGAAGTCCAGGTCGGTCTCAAAGCTGATGAACTGCTCACTCCGCTCCGAGTCCACATTCTGTGGTTCGCAGCGGCCTCGATACAGCTTGTAGCCCTTGTTGCAGGAGCCGCAGAGTGAGATGTTGGCCAGGCTGCACATGGCACAGCTGTTGTTCCCGCCGATGATGCAGGGGATGGGCCGCTGGCACAGTGTGGTGCTACCGTGGCACACGCAGCTCCGCTGGCTTTCCAGGAAGGTGCCCCAAAAACCATTCTCATTGCAGTAGAGAAGGGACTGGACCCTTGCAAGCCACTGCTGAATCGTTCTGTGAGACACAGGGAAAATGGAGAATGTTAAACACCGTGGGTGAGTTATGGTCAGGCAACTGATAATGCAATTGTAGCTGCGGGAAGAAAGAAAGGGTTAGGTAGAATAGTTATAGTAGGAAGGGTACGGAATATAAATGACATTGCAGTTGCTGCAAAACAGCTACGCCACCTTATACTAATCAACGTCCTCATCTGCAAAACGATGGGGGTGGAGTAAATGTACTTTGGGGGCTCTTCTAGCTCAAATATTTCACTGTACATTTGTCCCAAACAAGTTTCATTCAGGAAATAAGTGTCTCAACCCAAACAGCCCTGCCAAAGGCATAATATTATAAAAAATCTGCAATGGGGGCGGGGGAGGGAACCACCTTAGCGGTTTTGTCTTTCAAACTTCATCCCATAGTTCCACCCCCTTCAGAAATTCTCTTATAAGGGCATATAAAATCCAATGACTTCAACAAAAACAAATTCTATTTTATATTACTCTAGAGATCATGTAGCACTTCCATAAGGGATGATCCTATATGATCTCAGAGAGGCCTTTCAATGTACGAAAGATACTATTCCCCTCATGTTTCTACAGCTCCCCCCCCCAATCCCCTCATTTCAGTGGAATTTCTGTTGCAACACATACCTCTAAGTCCCCCTCCTGCAGCCTTTCACAGTTGTATGAACGATACCCAAGCCTGCCCCTAGATTCCAGCCACTGAGCATTCTGATGAAGACAGATACTCAATCAGATAAGAAGCAACAGAAGAATAGGTAAAAATATGTAAGGCACTCAGCTCAGAGGTCTCTCATCTTTCCTCATTTCTGTACAAGACACCTCTTGGCTATCTTCCCTGCTACCAATAATCTCCTACATGTATCTAGCACTTGTTGTCCTGCACGGGGCATGGGTACTCCCATTTTCTCACTTCAGTCTCACAACACCACTCTGAAAATAGGTTGGGACTTGAGGTCAGCCAGAGGTTACTTAAAATCCTGGCTCCTCCACCTATGAGCTGAGGTTTACTGCACCTTCCTAATCAGCCCTACCACACAGTGCTGTTGTAAGGATTACATGACTTTTTATAGGATGGCTTAGCCCCAAACTTGGTAGGTATTAAGGACTCAATAACAGTTAGTACTTGTATCTCAGCTCCATGTTTTACAGACATGGCTGCAGAAGCCCAGAGGTGAAATGATGGACTAAAGTCATCAGTCAATGAGTAGAGAAGTCCCTGGGCTCATCACTATGCCTTTTTTCCTTCCAGGCCAAGTCAGAGTCAAGACAGGCTTCGATGTCCTGTGGTAACGTTGAAGGCGATGGTGGAGCTGTACTTCGTGGTCCTCATTTCAGGAAGCTGGAAACAGAAGCCCCCTTTGCCTTATGCTGCCTCTGTGGGAAGGGTCAACAGTCCATCTGTCCTATCAGACCCACTGCCTGAGCACAAGGGCCGAGCCACAAGCAGCCCAGGAAAAACTGTGGTCAAAGCTCAGTTCTCTAACCAGGAACAACTCACTTTGAGTCTCTAGAGCCTCAGGACCAATATCTCAAATGACAATAACAAAGCCCATCTTATGTGGCTGGTGAAAGACCTGAGTTAGATAACGGATTTAAAACATGTGGCACAGAGCTTGGCATAGACCGTTATTAAAAAGGTAATGATAGTAAGTACTCTTATCCCAGACAATAAGCTATTCCTTTGAAGGTACTGAGACACACTCAGGGATTTCACTATCTCTCTGGAGTTTGAGGGGAGCCATTTTGTTACACAGGGCATTTGAAAATGGATACTGTTGAAATGGCTTCCCAGAATGCTTTGCTTTAAATATGTTGCTTATCAGCTGAGAGAAAATGGAGGATTAATTAGTGCATTCTTTGAAACTGTTTTCAAATCCATGGAACCATCCTGCCCAGTGGCAAAAGAAAGTCCCTCCCAACATAAAACACTGTATCTTAAGCCCTGGTTTCCTTGTCAGCCTCCCCTCCAGGCCCAAGAGCAGAGGGCCCCCCTTTTCTGAGTATGTTGCCCAGAACCTGGCTTTATCTAAATATTTGCTGAATGAATGAATGCTTGCTGACCGAATGAACAGACAGTATTAATATTTTTCTTCTCCTTTTTCTCATGGGAAAAAAAAAAAAAACAAAACACAACCCACAACTTTTCTTCTCCCCCCCCAGGACTGCAGTATTAGTTTTCGATACAGTCCACCCACACAGCCCCAGCCTCCCCAAGTCTCTGCTTCCTGAGACCAATCCTATTACAGCCTGGAGAACAGCAGCAGGCCCAGCCTCAGGAAACGGTGCTGGAATAACAATGAGCTCTGCGGCTCCCGCCTCCCAAAGCAGAACATCGACTGAATATTGGCTATGAGTCATCTGATATTTCAGCGAGCGGCAGGGGCCCGCCACACGCCTCAGATTGCGTGGTTCCATCTGACGAGAGTGTCATTTCAAAATGCCTCTTTCAAATGGCCCACACTTGCCCCTGTCACTCCCTCTCCAAGTGACAGGACAGTACCCCATTTAGAGCTCCTCTGTCCCCATCTGCAAGGCATTCTATAAGCCCGTAGAGCACCCCCTTTCTCGTGTCTCATCATTGGGACCCTTTGTGGGACCACAGCCCCCACTCCTTGCATCAATGCTTCATTGTGGCCGGACCCTCAGAACCCTCAGTGGGGGGAACACCCAGATGAGCGTTCCTGGTGGTGCTGCCACAGGCAGAGGGGCGAGCGGCCCATTAGGATTCCAGCCCCGTCGGGCAGGAGGGGTTGGGGACAGAGGCCCTCTGAGGAGCGATAGCGAGCTGTGTAGCACCTGCGTCTCCTGACCTCAGAATAATCATGAGGTTGTGGGCTGCATCAAAGAAGGCATTAACGATACAGTGAGAGGGCTTAGGAGAAGGCGGTGTGTGGGGAGCAGGGAGCCAAGGCGCAGGGAGAGAGGGAAAAGAAAAAGGAGGGGAAAGGTGGGGCATGGGGAAGGATGATAGAAGAGAAAAGGACTTGGTGTTAGAGGTGATGGGGGAGATGGTGGAGCTCAACCCACATGGCCACATGGGGAGGGAGTGTGATGGGATGCAACCAGAGTGGGTAGAATAGAAATGGACAAATTCAGTTGAGTCTTCACCTATCAGAACTCAGATTTTCGGAATGTGGATGCTGATGGACCGATTCGAGGTCAAGTTGTCCTGCTCTGAAGAAGTGAATGGAAAGTGGGGAGCAATGGTCCCGTGAGTCCCTGTTCCCAAGGTCAATGAATTAACCTTTACTTTTTCTTACTTCATTTTGAGGAGAAGAGTCAAACCAGCAAAACAAGCTCATTCCAGGTTTCAATGTAGTCATTCTGAACACAGGCCACGCGTGATGAGGTGGAATCCGCCATCAGATCAACCTCCTACACCTTCTCCCTCTCCCGCCACTGCTCTGCTAGTGATCACAGCTCCACAGGGGCCCTGCCATGCTCATTATGGAGAAGCTTCCGTGCTGGCCACGGCATCAGCAACTTACAACTATTGAACCCCTGCCGTATACCAGGAGGCTCTCCCCAACAGCATGTCTAACTACCTGTCTGGGGAAGGGAGACAACCTGTTTCTGAGATCACAGAGCCAGTCCTGAGGCCAGGTCTCTAGCTTCCACGTCATTGACGCAGCTTTGGCTCTGCACCATGATGTAAAGTGATAATGATAAGGCAAGAAAGAAGGAAGCAGGCCACGAGAAGAGAAATACATTGAAATCATGGAAAAATACTGGAAGTCTACGTGTGTGAAGGGCCTATTATCACATTCCTTGCTTCCCTGGACCTGCCAGCATCCCTCTTCTCCATTCACAGATAATTGGAGCTCACCGACGAGTGCACAGGGAGAGACTGGGGACTGGGGTAGGAGGGACTGTGATCTATAAATACCATTTCCCAGGCTGGCCGGTGACAGTCTGCCTCCACCCTGGCAACAGAGGAGGCTCTTAATAGGCTGGTGCCAGAGGGGAGGGTCTCACAAAGGGCTGACACAGCCCCACCACAACGCGGTCCGTGTGAAGCAGTGACGACCAAGTTCCTAAATGCTTTTCTCCATCCCTGGGGATCCCAGACATCTTCCATTTACAGCCAGAGCTGACTTCCAATGTATCTGTCAGCATCTTTCTGTTGGATGGGATTTCAGCTTATTGAGATGGGGGGCTCAGAGGAGGGAAAAAAGGAAGGAGACCGAAAGGGCATTTTTGCTTCTAACGCTGGAGAGTCCTGGAGTCTGACTGGGAGGCGACTTGCACCTTAATGGCAGGAAACCTTCAAGGAGAAAGCATGGGAGTATTTACCCCACCTCCCTCATGTTTAGACCTGAACACTGAAACTGAGTGGCTACGGGGAGGAGCAATGCTGCCTGTGTGCTTTCTGCGTCATGGCAGGTTATCTCGATCCTCATCCTCACGTCGCCTCCATGTGGCAGGACTTCCGTGTGACCTTCATTCTGCAGACAAGGATGTTGAAAACCAGAGAGGGACAGTGATTTTCCCAGGGTCACGCAGCATGGATATAGCAAATCAGACCCAGTGATTTCCCAATCTGAGTCCAGTGGTTCCTCATTGCCCACGCTGATGTTCCCTGTGCTCTGAAACCCAGACCAGAGGCGGTGCCAGGTTCTGGGACACAGAGACACCTCCGTTGCACCCCTGCTGCCTCTGTCTCTGCCTTAGCCAGGGTTTTCTGCCGTCCTGACAGTTCTCTGGGGGACACAGCTGGAGTTGCTCATCATTTGGAGGACAGAGGCTACACCACCCAGGGCTTCCCATCAGTGTTTTCAAAGGCACACATCTCCCTTTCAGGACCACCCGGGTGGGGAGCCCAGGCTGGGATTCCTAATTCAAGCAAACTCCCTGCTGATTTTAATTGGAGGTTTTGCCTAAGACAGGAATGTGGGACTGGGCCAGTGGCATTTTAGGGAAGATCATACAAATTGAGTGCCAGCGAGGTTGGGGGACGGATCTAGTCTAAAATAGAAAACTATAATCCAT